TTTGGACATGGTGGTTTTCGTTGTGGTGAGCCACCCAAAAAGAAGTATCTCCAAAACAACAAGGGGTACCAACTGCAAAAAAGGGACACCCGAATGGTTCGGTGTTCGCCAACCGGAAAAAGGAAACACTCAGCAGGAATGGGTGTGTCTCACAAGAGCCATTTTTTGGGGCTGGTGTTCAAGGAGACCTTTAAAGGAGACCAACCACTGGACTTTCGAGAAACGCGAACCCCTCAAATGGTTTTCCCTTTGACTTCACTTTCGCAAAAAGGTGCCCCCTTTAGTTTGAGTGGGGCATTGCCCCGGAATTTTGATTCTGCAGCAGGATTCCGATTTGGGAATCATGACCATGGGCGGCACACGCGTGGACCACAGCAGAGAAACGAGCACATGGTAAGACTGTGGCCCGTACAACCCCCCAAATGGGCTTTGGATAAAGCTCCGCGCCGTCAACAAAATGGCCCGAAAGTGAGTAAAGTGGTTTGCAGGGATTTCCATATTGAACCCTTGGAAAATTGTTGTGGGGGTCCATTCCTCGGCTTTTTTCGGCTCTGGTGAGTTCTTACCGTGGATTATTGGATGTTTTCCGTTGACATGCGGAATCTTGCTTGAGCAGAGAGGTAGCGAGCACGTTTGCAGAAAGAGAAGAGGTGTGGCGCAAAGTGAGGCACCCAGGGATTTGGCCGTTGCAAGCTAGGGGAGCTGGAGGTTCTTCAACCCTGCGTTTTGGGCTTTCTGTTGTACAAACTGGGAGGCTACTGGGGGGGTGAAGCCAAACAAGGGTGTGTGTCTTTGAGTTGGCCCCCTTTTTGCCGAGAAACCAGAACCCATTCCATTTCTGGGGCGCAAACCCCTCTTCGCCATAGCCAAAACCACAAGACCCCCGGGGGGTGTTCGGTTTTTTCCAGCTGAGGCTGACCCCAACGTGGCTGCGCCAGTTCCTGCGCACCATGGGCTCCTCCGAGTCGCGGAAAGCCAGCCCGCCTGCCCTGGCTTCGAGCGCTGGCGAGTTGCTACCACTCCCCTGGGAAAAATCTGCGTGGCGACCCAAAAGGACATCCCCCCAAGGTGGTTTCTTCAATCAAAAAGGGCAGCTTTCCAAGCTCCATGTGGGTCTTCTCGGGAGTAGTGCTTTTTTGTGAGTCGACTGGTCTTGGTTGATACGTGAGCAGTTGTACCTTCAGAAGATGGATGGCCTGTTTCGGCTCCCTGTGTACACCCTGCGAAGCCCAGCCCAGCCAAGCCAAGCAACGCAAATCCAATACATAATATGCAAGGCCACACAAAGCAATGCAAAGCCAAGGCTGCACAGCCGCAATGCAGCGCAGAGGAAGGCATGCATTGAAGCAGGCTTGCAAGCATGAAGCAGGCAGCAGACAAAGAAAAGAGCAATGGCCAGGGTTGGCTAGTGAAGAAGCCAGGATAGTTCAAGCAAACAGCGAAGCAGGAAGGAGGCAACCAATACCGCTGCTTGCGTGCACAGCGGCAAGCATCACATGTAGACCGAGCCACGTAAAAACGAAGACTTGCACAGCACGCGCGTGGCATGACTATTAGGGGGCATGAAGAATGTTCAGGGCTATAACCTTCCCATCCCCTAGTGGCTGCGAATGAATATTGGAGACATCTCGGCTGCTTCTCGTGGCAGGCCCTGGGTTTCCCTTAGCCACCGGCGAGACGGTGCAAAGCTTAGTCCATGCGTGCGATTTTTGGCGTGAGCCCTGGTTGGAGGACGTTTTGCAGGGAAAACCGGTTTGGGGGTTCGCCACCCAGCAACAATATGGGTTCTGTCTCTTTTGTTTCTTGAGGCAACCCTGTTTGGACTGCTTTTTCAGACAGACCACCAAAAAGAACACAGGGAAACCACTGGTCTGAGGGTTCTGTTTGGAGACAAACCCATGCTTTGCATTGAGAACCAACCCCCGTTCTTTGTCGCACTCCAAGGAGACGGACAGCACCGAGAAGAGGGGCCAGGATGCCTCGATTCCGTACCTGCGCGTGGACGAGGCAGGGGGTTTTTGGGCGCTCCGAGGCAAGCCCGCCGCTTGGGCGCTTGGCAGCGGTCCGAAAAACCGCAGGCATACAGTCCGCCCAGGGGCAGTGGAACGGAGGTACATGACTTATTATGCTTAGATATCCAATGATACTAAGTACTTACTTGGTGGGTATGCGTCCAAACTACGGAAACTTCCAAACTTGTGACTGTTTCATGCGAGTTCTCTTTTAAAAGCAGTCCCTTTGCCCTTGTGTTCTGACCAACAGGGCGGCAAGGATCGCCAGATGAATGCAGTTCAAGGGCAGTTCTCTTGGGTCATGGACAGTCAATCCGATGGACCACGCTTTCATTTTCATCAGGCTCTTTGTTTTAAGAAAGGGGTACCCTAAACCAAGTTGAAAGGTACTTCGAAATGCACACCCCACACACACACACACACACACACACACACACACACACACACACACACACACACACACACACACACACACACACACACACACACACACACACACATTTGGACTTATGGAAGATCAGTTTGGCAAAACCTTCATTCAATTTGAAGAGCCTCCCTTCCAAAGAGATGACCTCCAACTGGGGTATTGACTCTCTTTGTTTCTGGGCGTTCTTAAAGGGGCTGGTTCCCTTTAAACTTTCAACTCTACCACTTAGGCGGTCACCTTGGGAATTGTCAAACAATTCGGGGGGGGGGGGCAGTCCAAGATGCTTCCTTTTTTGGGAGGGACCCCCTTCAAACTCAACAAACAAAGATGCGCCCCTTTTTTGCCTCTGCAACTCCTCTGCAGGTCCGGGTCAAGATATGAATGTGTCTTATTTTTCAGGGGGAGTACCCCTTTTGCTTGGGCAGGGCTCCTTAAAAGATACAATTTGCCAATTTGAAACATGGCATTGTCCACCAAAATAAAGGGAAACCGCCATTTACAAGGCAATGTTCAGGTGTATAATGTAAGGATCCCTGTTGGGGGTGTTGTTTAAATGGCCACCAAAAAAGCACCCCGAACGCCCATTGTTGGATGTTCCATATGAAGGGAGTGGCTTACACGGCACGCGCTTCGAGTCGCGCAGGCTGTGGCCTTTCTGGACTTCGCGCTGGCGGACGGCGACCACGGGGACTTGGAAGGCGTCCCGCTCCTCTTCACCGAGGCACGCGCGCTGGCGCACCTTTTTTGTTCCTTTTTTGTTTTGCCTCTCGATCCACGTGTTGGGCGCCGTTTTTTGTTTTGTTTGCTACTTGTGTTTCTTATTTAGCAGCATTGTTTTTGGTTTTTGGTTGTTTGTGTTGTTTTGTTTTTTTCCTTTCTTGGGCAGTTGGAACCGTGTTTGCTTTCACCTTGGACGAGGGTGTGTGTGCGTGTGTGAGAGAGTGTGTGACCCCCCTCCCGGAAGTTGCAGCTTGGCCCCAGACGAAACGAAGCTGGAGCCGGGCAACACAGCTTTCGGTGGCTAGAAAAATCGAAAGTATGGGAATCTGGAACCCAAAAGAGGAACCCAAGCTGGAGGGTTCCCAATTTTGAGAAACACATGGCAATCGAGAATAGTCAGAGTCACGTTGGCCCGGACATGGTCACGGGCGCAGTAAACGCCCGTCATGAATTTGCGCTACCAAAGCCGCAAACACAAGGGGGCCAGCCCATGTGGGCGTGGCTCCTTTGTTTGCAAGCAACCCACAAGATGAGTTGCTTTACACGAAAACCAAAGAAGCAAACCGTTTGAGGGGTCCCCAATTTAAACAAATCCAATGTGAGGGTTCCCCCAGTCGGAGCAGATCGGAGGACGTCAGTGTGGGAACCATGGCGTTCGCGAGCGGGCTGAAGACTGTCTTCATGCCCGAGGACGCTTTGTTGAGCACATGGCATCGTGTTTTGACTTTGGAAAGGAACCACTCCCCTGCAAATTAATTTCCGTGGAAACCCAAAGCGCATGTTTAGACGACTCTCTTATAGTATAGTCCTTCTTTCTTTCTTGAGGACTCTTTTTATTGGAGACCTCCATTTTGTTCCACGCCAGTTAGAGAGCTCAATCACCAAACCATTTGGGCAGATTGGAGCACGGTGTGCTTTGGATTTCCAGCAGGTACGAGTTGCCTACACTTGTGCTGATCGGCGGGTCTTGGGAGTAGCCCTGTTAGTTTTTGTCGGGGTGAAATGAAAGGGGAAAGACCAAGCCTCTGCTTGTTCGCAAAGGGAACCATCAAGCAGAAGCAGCAACAGACTTAGTGCGGCATTGGTGACAGGTTGACGCATGAGCAGCGCCCTAAATCCTTGGCGGCCATTCAGCAGTGAGTGTGTGTGTGTGTGTGTGTCTGTGCTTTTTGAGGGTACTCAGCTCGGTTTAAGGACAAGGGACACCACCCCAGTTTAGGCGGCCCCGTATTTTCATGCAGTACAAGCCTTCATAGCCATTTTGGTTGAGTTTGACGTCAATTGGTTTTGGGCCAACCCAATCTTCATCCCGAGAGGACGAGGAAGAGTACCAACTGCTGCCAAAGGCTGCGCTGAGACACTTCTTTCGCGGGGTGCGGCTGGATGTCCAAATTGTTGCACAGGTGCACATAGGAACCAGCCTCCTGTCAAACTTCCTTTCTTGGACCGCGTTTTGGGTCTCAGCCTACCCTTAGTTGGTGCTTCCGGGGTTGGCGGGATTTGACCCCTGGCTCGTGCAGAGGACAAATGGTTGAAACCAGCTCCTAAGCTCCAAGTCCTTAATCCCAACCACCAAAGAAGCTGAGTATTGCGGCGGTTTCTGCGGCGGTTAGGAGGTGTGCCGGCGCCGACCAGCATGACAGCTGTCAAGATCCTTGAAAAAACAACAGTAGCACTCCTGAGGCTTCTAGATGTGCTTGTTCCGCTTGGTGAGATCCTGTGTTTGGTGCGGATTGCTTGCTTTAGGGGACACTTTGAAGAAGTGAGGGGGTTATTCATCAGGGGTCACTGTCAAAACACCAACCCAAAGGGATTCCATGAGGTTTGGTCCACATCGTTGAGAAACGGCAAGCCAGCGTCAAACCCGTTTTTCTGCATGTCCTGAGAGGGAGCCGCACATGACTCTGGCTGGTTGGAGTTGTTGATGCTTGTGTCTAAAACGGTCTCACCCAAACCACTCCGAAGGGAAACCAGGGTAGAAACATGTAGAAACCCTTTTGTATAGGCGATACAGTGGTTCACGGCCTTTGGACTGTGTGGTTTGGGTGTAGAAGCCTTGGGTGTTCCCTTTTTGGAGTTGGTGCCCTTTTTGGGATTTGCTTTTTTGAAGGAACACCAAAGGGAGAACCACCATCTTGGGGTCCCTGAATAAAAGGCATGTACCAGCAGCCCGGGACTCGCCCGCCGCTCGCCGCTCGCCGCCGCAGGCTCCGGCGCGGCTCCTCTCCAAGGAGATCCGCAAGCAGCGGCCCTGGGCGGCGGCCCCATGGAGTCGGGCGGCGCGCCTCGAGGTTTCGGCATCGGACGCCCCAACGATCAGCCAAGTTGTCACCCAGTGCCAGTAGTGCCCTTTTACCGTTTCTTTTTTGGTTGGGAGGGTTCCCCTACTAAAATAGACTACAGAAAAAGGGGTACCCTTTTCCTAACCTTTCTACTGGAAGACCTAGTAGCAGTTCGGTGTGCTCTGGGTTTCCCTTTAGGACCAAGCTGACTCGCGGAAAGTTTGCGGAAAGTTTGCGGAAACACGGGAACCACAAGTCGAACTAGAGTTGAAAGCCAAACACAAGGGAGCATGTAGGTAACATAGACAAGCAAAAACAGACAGATGTTTAAAGCAAGACTCACAATGTGTTTGTCTCGAAATAGTGAACCCTTTTAATGGTAGGTATTTTTTGGGTTTCTCTGTAAACCAGTCGCGAAAAGGCCACCGAGCCACAACAGACAGTCGGCAAGCCTAGAGAATGCGGGAATGACCCCTTTCCTGCGTTGCTCCACTTTGGTTTCTCTTTTCGGCTTCCAATTGTCTGCCCTTGTGCCAAGGACTTTAGAGCATCAATTGGGGGTCTGCGGACTAGCTTCGCCCCCCCCCTCCCCAATTCTTACTCTAGTGATCAGGTCCCCGTTCTTTCCAAGGATGCTTCTTTCCGGAAAGCTGCGTTTCACACCCAGAAGAAACGGCGAGTATTGAAACAACGATGAGTAGACCGAAGAAAGATCGACCCATGCCCAGGCAAGTCTCCAATCCCCCAAAAAGGGCACCCTATAGGCAGGGCCATGATACAGTTGGGCGAGTCAAAAGAAGAGAAAATCTCCTTGGTTTCAGCGGTTTTTGGAGGTATCCTTTTGCTGCATACCAACCTCGAAATGATCGGCTTGACCTAACAAACGAGGTCTGGGTGAACCTGCAGCAAATGGCCAGCAGCGAAGCCGCAGGACCGTCGGAAAAGACATGCGCGGAGGGCCGAGGGTGTGTCTTTTTGGGAGGGACCCCTTGTTAGTGGGCAAAGGGAAAGCAAGCAGGATAAAGATCCAGGTTTTAGGAGCTACGCTAATTTTGAGATTCTGAGACAAACCCATGCGTATGTAGGTGTCCTAAACTGACCACCATCGAATGCGGGTTTGCCCTCAACTATGTTGGTTGATATTGAGTCCCCATGTGATTGAGGTCCGCTGATTGACAATTTTTCCCACACCAAGAAACACATGTGTAAGTTGGAGCAGCGGCCAGAATGCGTCTGCTATTCTTCCTTCGAACTGGGGAGGGGGAAGAATAGAAATTGAAAAGCAAGCCTGGTAGGTGCCTTGGTCAAAACAACCTTTTGCTCCTTTTGCTTGGGGTTGGTATAAATCCTTATGGGCACCTTAGGGAATGTTCGATGGCAAGGATTCGGTTTTGAGACCAACATCCAACATGGCCATGGCCTTTTTGGGAGTGACCACAGAACAAAACCGGCTGGATTTTGTTAGGAGGCACTCCCCATTTAGTTCAGTCAACTTCCCCTTGGATGCTTGAAAGGCAACTGAGAGGATTTGCAGTTCTCATGAGGTCTCCAAATGCATCCGCCAAGGGTCCCCTTTTTTTTCTGGAGTTCTTCGCATGAGGCACTCTTGCGGTGCTTCATTGCAAGGCAGATGATTTGATAGCCACCCTAGTTATGTCAGAAAAAGGGGGACCCGCAAATGTACCCCCTATCTATGTGAGGAAAAGGGGGGGGACCCTCCGCAAATTTTAGGGCCGCCAAGTCTTTCTCGCTCTTCTCGACACCTCTCGAAAGGGCCGTATGGCAACCTTGCATCCCCCTGCAAACCAGCCAACTCAAGCCTTCCTCGGGCCCCCCTTCCTCATGTTCAATGACCACATCTTTTCTGGAATGCACAAGTAATATGAGGGGCTAAAGAGTTGCCATCACTAGTTCATTAAAATCTCCAAATAGGGCTTTAAAGTACCTGGGCCCATTCTTGTTTAGGCCCTTATGTCGCCCTAGACAGGTCCCCCCCAAGCTTCTGGACCGATCCGAGCACCGCTAGACTGCCAAGAAGTTGCCGACTCTCCGATTTCAAGTCTGAGATGTTCACCGGTTGGTTGCCCTTGGGCGTGCCCAAGCAACCAGTTGTGCTGTCCCACTTTTGTGCGCGATCAGGAGATGCCAAGAGCTTCCAGCAGGACGCCGAGTTGGGTGTCCTCCAGAGCTTGTCGTCTTTTTGCGAACGAGTTGCAAGACCCTTTTCCAAAAGGACCCCGAAAAGTGCAAGCACTTTTCTTCAGGCTGCTCTGGCAAAGTGTCAACATGTCGGTCTGCTCAGATTGGACCCCCAGGTTCACACGAAAAGCGGACAGCAAACACCCCCTTTCAGGCCTGTGAGGGATCCAAACCACCCAAGCCACCCAAAGTTCTCGAAAAGCTGGTGCAAAGGTCCCAAGATGTTCCATGTTTGATGGCTTTAAGCACCCTTTTAGCCCAATAGGCAAGTTTCTCTAGGGGTGATGTTTTGAGGGGAAGTAAAGGGAACCTGTTTTCTTTTTGAACAAAAACGGTTTTGAAAGGACGCCAACATCACGCCGATCATTTTGCGGGGTTCAACTCGTTTTGATGTTCATTCGTTGGACTCGCAAAGCACGGATGGAGGCTCGATCCTGTAGCAGGTTGTTTGTAAACCTTGCATTTGAGTATTCCCTAACATCCCTTTTCAAAAAGGCTTTAATGGGAAAGCCAAGGGTATACCAACCAGAAGGCCATTGAACAAGCACGTAGCTGAACCCTGTTTCGCTTAGGCCTCTCCGAGAATTTCTGGAGCCCCCCAAAATGGCAATGGCCTTGGTTGCCTTTTTGGTTTTCGGCCATGCCCGCTTAGAGGACCCCAAAACCACTGAAATCCAAACACGCGGCTTCTCAGGCTCCGACGGATGACAGCGGCGCCCCTGATGTCCGCGCTGCAGGAGAGCGCAGCGTGTTCCCCTTTTGAGGTGCCCCCTCTTGTTTGGGTCAAAACGCACAGGTATGGGATTGGAAAAACAAAGAATTCCCAGAGAAGAATGACCTAAGTCCAGGTGACTTCTGCTCACAGCCCCATGGTGTGTGTGTGTGTACCTGTTTGAGGCTCCCTTTTGGGTTTGGTTTCCCACGCAACGGACAGCTCCCCTTCCGCGGTTTTCCGCGGAGAGCATTTTGCGATTGCCACGCCCATGGCTGGCGGTTGCCCGCCCCGGTGGCCAGGTTTCGGGTCGTAAGGGAACTTCCTGCGGTCGAAACCCATCAACGTTGGGCCCTTGTGACGTTTGAGTACAGGGTAATGTCATCTCACTTCCTGAGTTCATGAACTTTAAACTTTTTGGGAAGACCATTTTAGTGGTAAATCTAAAGTTTGAACTCTTTTTGGGCCATCCACTCAGCCAGTGAGTCATTGACCAAATCTTTCTGCTTTTGAGCACCAGAAGGTCAATCAACCGTTCAAGCACAAAACAAAAAGCATGCAGCATTTAAAACAGTGAACCAGCAATTGTGCCCAAGGCGAGTCCAAGCAGTTTGACCACATCATGGCAACTCCACGCACGAGTTCGACACCTCCCTCGCGCAAGTGTGTCCAACTGTCATGCGCACTTGCTCGGCTTTTTACAGGGACGCCAGCAGGTTGCCAACCAGTAGGGGGCCAGACTTCAAGCAGTATTTACCCTTTATACAAGTGGTACATCAAGCAGTATTTACCCCTTAGAATATATATATATATATGCATGTGGTATATAGCCGCACCTCTCAAACCCATACTTGGACTGAAAAGCCAAAAGGGAATGGCAGGAGCTGCTGCCCAAGAGCTGGAACGTGGCTGTGCCCGAGGTCCCCACGGCCGAGTGGGAAGGCGCGGGCCGGACCGAAGGGACCGAAGGTCGTCTTGGAGCGGTGAGGCTAGGAAGACCTGGGCTTGAGAGCGTCTTTGGAGCTCCCAGAGAAAGCCAGGGCTCAAAAGCAGGTTCCCAAACTGGGTGAAACCCTTTGAGGCTTTTAGGTTTCCCTTTGCGCCCACCTGAAGCTCAAAAGGCCACCCCTGGTCTTTCGAAATCGGCAGCTTCTTCCGAGTCTGCCTACCCCGAGGCTGGGTAGAAGGCTGGCTACGCGCCCTGCGGCTCGGCCAGCAATTGGCGCGTCCATTGGGGCCACCTTGGTGGGGCAGGTGGCCTGACTCGACCCGCCTGGAGTCTGCAAGACCCCAACACCAAACATGGGCTCATGATCCCTTCATTTCATTTCGGCTATGCGATGTTTTTTTTGAAGGGCTCGGGGTAGAAACCGTTTCTTTGCCTTTGGGTTCCCCTAGAAGTATCTAATCAAACAGGACACGCAACCAAACTAGCATGATAGGTTGCCATTTGGTTTACCCTAGAGACGCTCTCTAATGCTAGGGGTTGCGCACACATATGTTGATTTTGGGATAGGGCAACCCAAAGAAACCGTTCACTCCTTTTTGAGTGGACACCAAGAAGGAAGCCCATCATTTCACTCTAAAGCCAAGAGGAAACCAACCTTTCTGGGGTCCCATTTTTCGGACTCTTGGGAGCCTATTTTGGCGCTTTTCTTTCGGTTCCAGCCCCCTGGGTAACCGTGATTGCTTTAACGCAGGCATTTGTGTGTGTGCGTCTGTGTTTGCTTTGTGAGGCTACCCTAAGGGGAAACGAAGAGGAAGATCCATCCATTTTGGGGGGTCTTTGGTATTTTAAGACATACCCATTGATTGTCTTTTTGTTTGTGGTTCCCAGTTGCTTCCAGTTGCCCTTGTAGGTAACCAGCTGAGATCATCACTTGGCATTTGCGGCAAAACGGGCTTATTCAGCTTATAGCAGGCAACCAGCTTCGGTTACCTTTAAAGTTACCTGCCATACTCCATACCTACCTCCATCGAGCCGGGTCAATGGCTCGCCCACCGGGCTTAGGTGGAGCTGGATGAGCAGGATGGATGCTTGGCACTGAGCAGATCGGTGTCGGATGTGCGGGATGGGGATGGGGATATGGGGCGGATCGTCGGCCGTCGCTCAATGGGTTCTCATAAAATCGGGGACCCCTTTTTGGCGTTTTTTTTTTTTTTTGGGGGGGGGGGAATTAAAGGAAACCACCTGGAGGGGTCCTTAATTTTGAGAAACGCGAAGCTCCGTGGTCTTATTTGGTTTCCCTTTTAAAGCCACTCCAAGACAATTACTATAGTACCTTCAACGAAAGAGACCCCAGTAGTTATAAGGCAAAGGAACCGTTTGGAATGCCGGCGTTTGGCATCCATCTCTAGTTGTGGCTGGTATCTTCCGGCACCTCTTGAGCCTTGAAGGGGGGATGATTTTGGCCATGGAGATCAAAATCAGAGACTGGGGTCCCTATCCTTGAAACCACGCGTAACTTATCTATGTTTAGATGACGTTGTTGCTGCCGCCGCCGCTGCCCTTTTGCAAGCAGCCCTCGTGCAAGCTACCAGCAAAACTCTCATTTTTGTTGGTTTCACCAGTGGGCAAAGCCCTGGTTTATGATGGGCGATGGCCCCGTGTGGTTTCCTTAGCAGTCAACTCCAAAGCTGAGCCACGTGGCCTCAGGTCCCAGCCAAGAACATGCTCCAGTGGCCGATCGTACCAAGTCTTCAGAAGCTCGGCAAAGGCGGACGCCGGCAATTTGTTGCCTCAGTACCCTTTGGGTAAGCATCTGCTTTTAGGGGGTGCCCTTTTCGAACCTTTTGGGTTGCGACCAATAGCCATGCCCCACTTCGGAGTTTTGACGTGCGGGTGTCTCAACATTGCGCGCACCCCGCGGGTTTTCAAACTCCTGCGTGGCTTGGTGATTTGAAGGGAACCACAATTTTTGTCCAACCCGAAAATGTAGCTTTGATTCCCGTGTTTCGGCGTCCGCGATACGCGACCCCCGAACGTGCCGCTCGGGGCGAGTGTGCCGGTTGTGCTGTTTTGGCTAGCAATGCTTGGATTTCTGGCTTGCAACCGTTGTCACTGCAATGTGGTGTCTCTGCAGCTGCGCACTACCTGCGGTGTCTACTTACCTGTCTGTTTGCTTGGTCTATTGGTGCATTGTGAGTTTTAATGCGAGAACCGAGAACCTCTCAAAAATGGTTGGTGAACATAAACACCCTTCTATCCCTTCTCAACAATGGTGGGCGGGCATACAAACCCCATGTAATCAATGTCCACAAAGGGTCCCTTTGAGTTTAGGATTCGCACCCATGTCTCACAATTTCACCTGGTTGCTCTGGCAAGCCGTAACGCTTGTCTCATGGGTTTCCCTGTTGTCCATGTGGTTGCCCTGCAAGAAACCCAAACATAACTACTCCCAACTACAGGTAACGAAGTTGAAGCATCAATTATGCTGGCTCATTTGGGGTAAGCCCCCAAAAGCGAATAGTTCCATCCACAATGCGACACAAAACCCTCAACTCTTGGCCCCAAACTCTATTGATCACATCGATACATAGGGGTTATCCATGGCATTATTGACGTCCCAACCCCTTAGTCAACCAGATCGAGGTTCATGAATCTGTGCTTTGAGGCCTCCCGCAAGCTCTACTTCCGGCTTCAATGGCTGGAAAACAATACCCCCGCACTCATACGCGAGATGCGTGCAGGAACCAACAATGGGATGCAAGATGTAGAGGCAAACTGTTTCTGTCGGTTGAAACGAACCAAGCAGGCTTCGCCTTTGTTGTAAGTGCGGACTATTGAAATGACCTGCTTTCAGCCACAAATGACTCCTCGTAGTGAATGGTTGGTGTTGCCAAGAAGCAAGACAACCATACAAGCACTTGCCTATGTTGCCCTTCCGCCAAGGAACGAGGCTGACGAAGACAAGGCCGGTTTTCCAGTTTGTCGCGACCAGAGGAGTTCTGGTTATCGACCATGTTGGCGCGCGGTTGGTCCAACACCTTGCCTGTGGAAAAGCTGTCTGGGCCGTCCCCTGGTGTGTTCCGGCTGCCAGCTGCATCATGTCAGTCTTCATTGAAGGAAGTGCGTTTGGCCAGAGACGAAGGACATGATGGCAGGGGAAGTAGTGAAGTAGGAGAGCCACGCTCCAGTCATTGCCTCCCTGAACCAGATGTGTTTTGCAAGTCACATCGATGAAAGGCCCAACCACGTGGCCCTAGCCCTTCTACGTACCTAATATCAAAACCCGGGTAGATGAAGGTTAGTAACGGGCAGTCCCAGCCAGAAATAGTTGCGGCCGCCTTCGTAATTCTTTACATGGGTAGACCATTTTAATACCGGGTTTTGATTGTGACTCATATTAGCTTTGGGCTGGTGCGGAGGACCAGACGAATCAGATTTGGTTCCCTTTTAGATTGATTCAGAAGCGTTCGTCGGAGCAATGAAGTCTGGCCCTCCTTTCGACTCCGAAGTTGAGATTTTTCCCCCCATCCCAAAAGCATGGAATCTGACAGGTGGGGGGGGGGACCTTGTCCTGGCTTGGGCAATTGTCCTTCAAAGAAAGGCCTCAAAGGTGGGTACCTGGACCCAAGTTCGAGGGCCCAGGCAACCCCAGCGAGTTGACCCGAAATGACCTTTGGATTTTCGTTTGTTGGTCCAAATGTTTGGTGGGCCGAAAAGGTTCACTCTGTATTTCTCTAATTTTGGGGCAATAACCCATTTTCAGGGTATGTTGAGGGTCTGGGTGCGGTTTCTGCCTGCAGGGGTACGGAACCACAGTGCCTGCGCGACTTTACAGGCCGTGTATAGACAGAGTCAGGGCTGGGCGTGCTGGACATGAGTTATGAGGGAAGTTCATCTATAATGATACATAATTTATGTACACAATGCATTTACGTGCTTTTATACATATATTATATAGTATGTGTGTATGCATGCCTGCATGCATCCACATAAGTTAAGCAATGTAGAGTATACGGGTAAATGTCCATAATATGTGAAATCCCCCCGGACGGAGCACTCTTCTGGTCTACTTGTGCGAAGGTGAATATCTGAGGAGGCGGAATCACGCCTATCCATGTCCTACAAAGTTGTGGTGGCAAAGGGGGTCGGGCTTTCTTTCCTCTCTTCAACCAGGACGCTGTTTCATTTGGCTCAAAGGAGAATGCTATTTTGAGATATTAATTACCTTAAAGCTGGAAGGATGTTCAGTCGAGAGACCCTCCCCGCTCACGTTTTTTTTGGCCCCCCGCAACACTTTTTTTTTGTCACATTTGGCCGGGAGAAGCCACGGGCTCGCTGGTTCATGATCCCTCGGATTTCCTCAAAAACAGGGTGTCCAGTTCATGAACGAAGTTCTTTCTCTTCTTCCTTGAAGCGCCAATGCGCCAATGGCCTTGCTAAATGAGGGAAACACCCGGAAATCCCTGTACACAAGTTGAGCTTGGAGCAGTTGGATTGCTTTTCAATGGAACATGCGTCTCCCGCAGATCTTTGGACACGCACATCCGTTGCGGGTTTGAACCCCTGGGCTTAGAGGCGAAATGGAAACCACCCAGAAAACAGAACCAGATACCAGACAGTGACATCTTTTGACACAGAGTTGGTGGTTTGGGTTGGTGGTTTGGATTGATTTGAACCCCTGGTTCTAGGGGATAAGTAGGAAGCCGCCTCAGTTCCAAACCAATCGAAGCCAAACCAATTGCACGGAAGCTGAGATGTTGCCTGCGAGGCTTCAGCCAGATGCCGCGCTCTTTTCGCACAAGGGCGATGCAGCGAGGCATCGCAAGTCGCGTCGCGGCCGAGAAGTGGACGCAATGGGGGGAATTGGATCACAGCCTCAACAAACTTGATATTGTCCCAAGATTATTGGGTGGTTTCCCACTTGCAAGGCCAGCTGCTGCTCCACATTCACAAGGGACTCCTTTTGAAAATCGGACCCCCGTTTTGGATTCCATGTGAGTTTGCAAGGGTGTAAAGGATCGAAGGGTTCGAAGGGTTTCTTTTTGTCACAGCCACAGGTACTCTCTGGACACGTGTGACCTTTGGCAGGCGATGAACGAAACAAATGGCACCTAATGGGGGCTCAGTTGTATAAGAACCAAGTATTGACGCATTTTTACGCCTATATATATATACATACATATGGTTACCCCCCCTAGGGCCTACTTACCTGGAAGGATTCGTGCTGGACATATATATATATATACACTGGCCATATATATATATATATATACAAACATCGATATGTATTTGACGCCTGATGTGGGCCGTTTGATTTTAACTGGCGGGTGTGGCGCCAACGAAACCGCGTCTTTTTACTCGCGGGAGTCACGGGACCCGCGAGGCCGGGCATTCTGGAAGGCCCCTTCGCCGGGCCTCTGGCCGCGGGCCCGGATCGATCGGATCGGATCGGCGAGCCGATGGGTCGGGGGCTGCTGAAACCGAGACCTTGCCGCGGGAAAAAAAGGTTTCTCTTTGTTTTTTAGAAACGGAAAAAGGGAAGGACGGGTTCTGCGTTTTGTGAAAGTCTGGAGAGGATTCGATATGCCTGTTTCACGGCGAGCTGTGGGCGTAAACCCAGCAGGTTTTGGAAGTACACCAAACTTTGCGCCGGGTTCTAGGGCTTAATGTTCTTTTCTTTTCTTGCAACCCCTCGTTCTTTTCACAAGCCAGCCGTTTTTCCCCGGGATTCCGGGGGTTTTCTAGAAAGGATCCCTGGGTTCAGAGTGGGGAAGCTACCGACCCGCTCCTGCAGCTCAGGTGAAGCTACTGGAGCGTGTGGGCTGCACACCTGCCCGCCGGCCCGGCTGTGGCGGCTTTTTTTTTTTCCCCACGCCCACAGCCCGTGTCTCCAACTTGGTTCAACTCCCGGCGGCCCTTTTGGGGGTCTTTTGGGTTCCGACTCTGCAGTTTTCTGTTAACGTTGCTGTTGGTAAAACCGGAACACAAAACGGAAGATGGTCGGCAACAGAAATCCAGCAAAAACGAAGAGACATCTCACGCCCATCTCTAGCCGCTAAAGTTTGCCGAGAGTGCTTTTTTTTGGAGGATGCCCCTTTTTCGGCGGTTCCGAGGGGAAGCGGCTCTTCGAGGTACCACTTTGGGTGTTGTCCATTTTGCCCAGTTTGCCACGAGCCTTGCAATTCCAGTCTCTTTCTTTTCAACTTTCGGGCGGCTCCACCCGGGCATGACGGATGTCCCCGATCGGATCGTCCACGAAGGGACACCTGACAAGTGGCGTGTTTCCAAATAGGGGCCGCCCAACGAAGGCAAACCCCTCCGACTTCCCTGAAAACGCCCCCCCCCCCCCCACCCGCATGTGAATCAAAAAACACCGGTTTTCTCGAGGCTAGAAGGGATGGTCAGGGATGAGATCCGCACAGATCCTCCAATAAGGAATTGTTGCAAGGATCTAAAGCCGCCGCGCAAAAGTCCCATGACGAATGGAGTTTCCGAGTTTCCCCACGGCACCTTCATCTAACCTCGGAACTTTCGTTTTAACCACCTGCTTCGTCTCAGGTATGCCTATGCTTCCGAGCGAGCTTTTCGGAAGTTTTTCGGAGGGGGTTTTCCAAGGTGGCCGGGGGAATTTGAGGGAGGGTTTCGGATTTCACAGGCCAACCAAAAGGAACCCCCTTGAGAGACTGAAAGATGGGGACCTCGTCTAACAAAATCGTGGACCCAACTTGTTTTTCCTTGGGCTCTTCAAACCAACCCACAACCTGTTAAGACTCCCAGGGCTTTCCTTTGGGGTGAACACCTTTTCGGGCTTCCCGGGAGCTTGGGGCCATTTTGAAAGGACGTGTCCCAATTGCCCGACCTATCTAGTAGTATGCCCCAAAACCCCTAAAAAAATAAAGAAAAATAAACAGCTTTAGGCGGGCAAACGCTGAAAAAACAACATCATGAGCAATCGGTCAAAGACGGTTCCAAAAGCAGTACAGACAACATGAATAGAATTCGTTATGCTCGAAACATTGAACAAATGAAAGGTCAACGAAGAAAGTATGTGATTATTGGACGGTGTTGACTCGACCCCTTTTTCCTGTCAAAGCAACATGTTTGTGTTTGTTCACCCAAGCTTCATTTTATAAGATCCTAACTTAGGACCCAACCTCGAAGCCACAGGAAAAAGAGATCGAGACTGGCAGATTCAATTTTTGTTTACCAGTCTGTTTCTGATGCAACTGACAAATTGGGTCTGCCCAAAACAACACATTCTAAAACGAGCGTTTTTACTATTGGTTTCCCTTTAGAACCCAGGCAAAAGGTGGTTCCAAAAACGACCGACCCATACATAATTGTGGAGTTTCCGGGGTGGGGATGAACCAGTGTGCTTTCCTGTAGCCACCAAAAACACGGGTTTCCTGTCTTGCTCTTTGGTTCGCTATCAGAATCAACAGGGCTTTGGGAATGTATGCTTGAAATTCCAGTGGGTGGTTTCTATGACGCCCAAAACAGGGGGCTTCCCCCGAGCACGTTTTTGTTTTTTTGTGCCAACGGTTTTTGTTTTTTTAATGCCAACTGTTTTTTTTGCCAACTGAATTTTGCCAACTGTCTTTTTTGCCAACGGATTTTATGCCGACTGTTTTGTTTTAAACCTCGTGGCGCAAGCGTCGAGGTGCGCCTGCCCGTGTGGCTCCACGAGCGTCTGCTGCTTGGCTTCGTGCATCCCGGCACCGCGGACGGCTTGATGAAGGCGTGGCGGGAACTCGGCGGGAATTCGGCGGATTCGGCGGATTCGGCGCAAGGCGCCCTTTTTCTTTGGCTCTTCGAGTCTCCTCTTTGAATTATCGGATTCCCTTTGGATTTCCTCTTTGGAGTTTCCCCTTTGGGTTTCCTCTTTGGATTTCCTCTTTGGATTTCCCCTTTGGGTTTCCTCTTTGGATTTCCCTTTGCTTTGGGTTTCCCTTTGGGTTTCCCTCTGGGTTTCCTCCTTGGATTTCCTTTGGATTTCCCCTTTAGGTTTCCCTTGGACTTTCCCCTTTAAGTCTCCGCTTTGGGTTGCCCTTCGGATTTCCCTGTGGGTTTCCTCCTTGGATTTCCTTTGGATTTCCCTTTAGGTTTCTCTTTGGGTTTTCCTTTCCTTTGGGTTTCCCCTTTGGATTTCCTCTTTGGATTTTCTTTTGGAGTTCCTCTTGTTTTTCCTCTTTTGATTTCCTCGTTGGATTTGGATTTTCCTTTGGGATTCCTCTTTGAGTTCTCTCTTCGGATTTACCTTCGGGTTTCTGCTTTGGATTTGCTCTTTGTTTTTTTGTTTCTTTTTGGTTTCTCCTTTGGGTTTCTGTGGTTTTGTCTTTGAGTGTTTCCTCTTTGGCTTTTCTCTTTGGATTTCTCTTTGGTTTCTTCTTTGAGTTTCCCCTGTGGAATTTTCTTTGAGAGTTTTCTCTGTAGATTTCCTCGTTAAGTTTTTCTTTGGGCTTCGCCTTTGATTATTCCCTGCGGATTTTTCCTTTGAGTTTTCCTGTGGATTCTCCCTGCAAAACGCCAGTTTTGGGACACATCCGGGGACCCATCCCGGGTGTTGTTGGACACGGTTGATCTTTCGGGGAAAGTTTGCTTGGATGTTAGGACTTCAACTTCTTGCAAACCATTCGGGTTTCCATTAAACCACTAAAAGCTAAACTTTTGGCAGGGGAGCAGAAAGCAACCGAGCTTTGATGGTGCGATAAGTAGAGGGTTTGGCAATGACTCGTTTTGGGATTCCCAAATAGAGGAAACCAGAAGCGACGGTTTATAATTTGGTCATGTCCTCATTCCCTGCTGAGAGTCAAGTTTTCACGGTGGTTTACAGGATTTGACAAAAGGAAACCAAGCAGTTTTGAGGGTTCACTCATATGGCTATGTTGCTGTTTGTGTTGTGTTTTTCAACGAGGGGGGAACCACCTCAACAGTGGTGGGCATGAGTCCAAATCCACCAAATTCTGATGTCCATCAATGATCCCCTTATTAAAAATTAGAGGCCGGAAGTGATGGGCGGTTGTGTTTTTGCTAGCACAATGCCTTTCAAGTATTCTTAAGTACAGTATGGTTGTTTAAGACTACAGATATTGTGATTGCTTGAAAGTAGACATAAGAAGTCACCGTGTTTGGCTGGATAGTTCCTTGGCTCGAACGCTGCCAGACATTAGCTACCACTATAACAAGTACATGCCGGACATAGGACCAACACATAATAAGTAGTTGAACACGAAAATTACATGAAACATAAGTATGTTTGTTAGGTACATGCTTCAAATAAAGTAGATGCACACTATACAGACATTTACACTTGGGGTGTGTTAATTATGCTGGGCAAATATAGGCGTGTGCTAGTTCTAGGAACTCTTCTAGGTCTATATTAGGCATTGCTAGATAATAATATAGAAACATGTGACGTGTGATAGACAAGTGTTAGGGGAAATTGTCACATACACCTCGAGAGAACCCCCAAAAAACGAGCACCGCCAAAAAATAAAGGATTGTAGACCCCACCCCCCTCGGGCCTACCCCCCCTTGGGGGTCTGCAATCTTGTTGTCTTTTGGCTTTCTTGATTTTGCTGGTTTTCTAGAGGTGTTTGCTGAATTTCATTCCAAAGTGCAACATTTCGAGAAACAGCAGAAAACACAATAACACCCAAAATAGCAAAATCATACCAAACAAAACAAGATTGCAGACCCGAACCTGCTTGGGCCTACCCGCTTGGGGTCTGCAATCTTTGTTTTTGTTTTCTCGAGGTTTTGGCACTTTGGTGTGAAATCCAGCAAAGCCTCGAGGAATCCAAACAGACACCCACTATCACACAAGACTGCAGACCTCCAACCCCCCTTGCCCTCCCCCTTCAAGTTTGCAAGTTTTGTCTCTGTTGTTTGGGGTTTCTGGCTTACCTCTACAAAAAAACATACATCAAGAAACTTGGGGAAGGTAAACTCCCAAAACATGGAAGCGCGCAGACCTCTTTTGGAAATCGATTTTTCTTCTGGAAAAAGGGCCTTGCTTTTCCATGTTTGTTGGTTGGAGGGTAGTTTGATGGTCCAGGCTGCCTTGTTCTAGACGCCGCCAGGCCTGCCACAACCGCCTCCGAGCCTTGCTCGACAAGGATGCGAAGGCGGACATTGGGGACAACGAAGCTCGATGTAGAGTGTTGTTAAGTGTGTGCTGAGGAGCCATCCTTTCCGCTGGACGTTCTTGCTGGAGCTGCACCATTGGCCCAAGTTGGCGAAAATAGCGAAAATCGCCTGAAGTTCCGGAGGGGACCCTAAAAGTGGTCAGGGTTTTCTTGAACACCAACTTAACAAGGGCGCCTTCAAGCAAGCAAGCAAGCAAGCAATCAAGCACACGTACATACAAACGTATAACCATACTAAAGAAAGCACGTCCGAGCACACTTGTGTAACACGGTAATTGCAATTATTTAACACTTGAGCCACAATCATAGCCCGGGTAGATGAAGGTTAGTGAGGGACAATCCCAGCCATAAATGGTTGCAGCCGCCTTTTTACTTCCTTACATGGTTCTGGGTTTACCAAGTTTGTACCAGGGTTGTGATTCTGACTCACTTGTTTTACTGCTTAGTTCACCGTTGGTCACAGCTACATGTTGGTTCTCAGAAGAATCACCGCCAATCTGAAACTGTGTTCCTCTTTGGGTTCCCCTTGCGGTTTCCCGTGGGGTGTTCCTTTGAGCGTTCCCTTTGGATTTATTTTTCCCCGCATCTTTGTGTGGGGTTCTTACTTTTTCCGCTCGTCGTCCGCGCGCCGCGTCTCCTCCTCCTCCTCCTCCTCCCGCTCGTCTCCGTCTCACTCACTCACTCACTCACTCACTCACTCACTCACTCTCACTCACTCACTTACACTCACTCAACTCACACTCACTCACTCACACTCACTCACACTCAGTCACTCACACTCACTCACACTCACTCACACTCACTCACTCACACTCAGTCACTCACACTCACTCACACTCACTCACTCACACTCACTCACACTCACTCACTCACTCACTCACGCTCACTCACACTCACTCACTCACACTCACTCTCATTCACTCACTCTCATTCACTCACTCACTCACTCACTCGCTCACTCACTCACTCACACTCGCTGACTCACGGCAGCTGTCTAGAGGGACAGGATGTTGTCGCGCGCGCGGCGGGGGGCGTGCGAAATCGTGGCAGGCGCAGCACTTTGGCGATGCCGTTGCGAAATCGTGGCAGGCGCAGCACTTTGGCGATGCCGTTGCCGAAGTCGTGGCAGGCGCAGCATTCTGTGCATCTGGGTGTGTGTTTGTGTGGCAGGGGTCGCATTCGGCAGCTGTCTAGAGGGACAGGATGTTGTCGCGCGCGCGGCGGGGGGTGTGCGAAATCGTGGCAGGCGCAGCACTTTGGCGATGCCGTTGCGAAATCGTGGCAGGCGCAGCACTTTGGCGATGCCGTTGCCGAAGTCGTGGCAGGCGCAGCATTCTGTGCATCTGGGTGTGTGTTTGTGTGGCAGGGGTCGCATTCGGCAGCTGTCTAGAGGGACAGGATGTTGTCGCGCGCGCGGCGGGGGGCGTGCGAAATCGTGGCAGGCGCAGCACTTTGGCGATGCCGTTGCGAAATCGTGGCAGGCGCAGCACTTTGGCGATGCCGTTGCCGAAGTCGTGGCAGGCGCAGCATTCTGTGCATCTGGGTGTGTGTTTGTGTGGCAGGGGTCGCATTCGGCAGCTGTCTAGAGGGACAGGATGTTGTCGCGCGCGCGGCGGGGGGCGTGCGAAATCGTGGCAGGCGCAGCACTTTGGCGATGCCGTTGCGAAATCGTGGCAGGCGCAGCACTTTGGCGATGCCGTTGCCGAAGTCGTGGCAGGCGCAGCATTCTGTGCATCTGGGTGTGTGTTTGTGTGGCAGGGGTCGCATTCGGCAGCTGTCTAGAGGGACAGGATGTTGTCGCGCGCGCGGCGGGGGGCGTGCGAAATCGTGGCAGGCGCAGCACTTTGGCGATGCCGTTGCGAAATCGTGGCAGGCGCAGCACTTTGGCGATGCCGTTGCCGAAGTCGTGGCAGGCGCAGCATTCTGTGCATCTGGGTGTGTGTTTGTGTGGCAGGGGTCGCATTCGGCAGCTGTCTAGAGGGACAGGATGTTGTCGCGCGCGCGGCGGGGGGCGTGCGAAATCGTGGCAGCGCGCAGCACTTTGGCAGGCGCAGCACTTTGGCGATGCCGTTGCCGAAGTCGTGGCAGGCGCAGCATTCTGTGCATCTGGGTGTGTGTTTGTGTGGCAGGGGTCGCATTCGGCAGCTGTCTAGAGGGACAGGATGTTGTCGCGCGCGCGGCGGGGGGCGTGCGAAATCGTGGCAGGCGCAGCACTTTGGCGATGCCGTTGCGAAATCGTGGCAGGCGCAGCACTTTGGCGATGCCGTTGCCGAAGTCGTGGCAGGCGCAGCATTCTGTGCATCTGGGTGTGTGTTTGTGTGGCAGGGGTCGCATTCGGCAGCTGTCTAGAGGGACAGGATGTTGTCGCGCGCGCGGCGGGGGGCGTGCGAAATCGTGGCAGGCGCAGCACTTTGGCGATGCCGTTGCGAAATCGTGGCAGGCGCAGCACTTTGGCGATGCCGTTGCCGAAGTCGTGGCAGGCGCAGCATTCTGTGCATCTGGGTGTGTGTTTGTGTGGCAGGGGTCGCATTCGGCAGCTGTCTAGAGGGACAGGATGTTGTCGCGCGCGCGGCGGGGGGCGTGCGAAATCGTGGCAGGCGCAGCACTTTGGCGATGCCGTTGCGAAATCGTGGCAGGCGCAGCACTTTGGCGATGCCGTTGCCGAAGTCGTGGCAGGCGCAGCATTCTGTGCATCTGGGTGTGTGTTTGTGTGGCAGGGGTCGCATTCGGCAGCTGTCTAGAGGGACAGGATGTTGTCGCGCGCGCGGCGGGGGGCGTGCGAAATCGTGGCAGGCGCAGCACTTTGGCGATGCCGTTGCCGAAGTCGTGGCAGGCGCTGCATTCTGTGCATCTGGGTGCTCTGTAATCGCATCCATACAAGGGGCGCACGGTACATGTGTGTGGACATTTGAACTCACATCCTTGGGAAAAACATAGCATGTGGGGTTATCCGGTCCTTTAATTAGTTTCTCCCTTTGGGTTTCCTCTTTGGATTGTTTTTTGGCTTTCCCTTTGGGTTTCCTTTAGGTTTTTTGCTTCAGGTGTACCTTGGAGTTTTCCCTGCGAGTTTCCCATTGGGCTTCCCCATGGATTTTTTTTGGACTCTGGGTTCCTCGGTTCCCTTTTGCATTTCCGTTTGGGGTTTGCTTTTGGATGTCGTTTTGGGTTTCGTTTTTGGGTCCCCATGGTCCCCCTTGGGATTTTCCTTTGGGTTTCCCTTTGGGTTCCCTCTCTATTTCCGTTTGGATGGTGTATTGGGTTTTCCCCGTGGATGTAGGTGCAGATGCAAACATTTTGGTGGCATCGGCATTCGGCATAGTGCATTTGGCCTCACAGCGACGGCCATAGGCACAGGGCCGGGACAACAACACATCACCTTGGCTTCCATTTGCTTAAGAATATTTTTCCGTTGTTGGCTTTCAAGGGAATTTAACACTGGAAATATTGTTTTTTCCAGGGGTCTTAATCAAATGGAAGATTGGGAGAGGGGGTCACGTGCAAGGCGGGGGATCGCCTGTTGGTTGAGTTCTTTGAACAAAAGTGACCCCCTTACTTGCAGTCCCCCCCCTTCTCCCCCGCTCACACAACAAGCACGTTGGGAAAAGACCGAAGTAGTCCGAAGTTCGAAGCGGTTGAACAGGGTCCAACGTGAGGATTGTGAGGGTCACTTCAGTGCCTTCCAGGGAAGCCGCCATTTGGAGGACGCGCCTCAGGCCACCCCGTCACCCCGTCAGGACCGCTCCGCCGGCGCGCGGAAGTTCCGGACACTGCGAAGGGCTCAGCTGGGATCGATCGCTAGGCCGTGGGTTGGACTTGGGGAGGTGTCATCCTTCCAATTTTCGCAGTCTAAAGAACAACTGCATGCCGAGTTTTGACGTGTTCGGCGAAGAGTTCCAACCATTTTCGGACGGCCGTTTTTGGGGGTCCCCGTAGTTTGACACATGCATACATGTTGTGGCTAACAGGTTGGATCACCAAAACAGCGCTTGGTGAAAGTTTGCTTGCAGATTTGCGGAATGAACGCCAAGAACCAACCCAACACCAGGGAAACCCTATGAGCGGAACCTTTATCGGGTTTCGGTCGCCCCAGACAGTGAGGTAGCTGTGGTGACTTGCCCCCAACGGTTTGAGGTTTAGTTAAAAACATGTTTCCAGAACAAAGGCGACAGTCGTGTTCCCTCGAGAAAGGTTGCTTGGACCCTCCTACCCTTGAACGTGAGATATAGCTCCCCAAATTTATGCGTGACAGGATGACGGTGATGTTTTTTCAGATCACTGAGAGCTGCTTGTAATGCCGAGCTTCCCTTTGCGGGCCTTGCTGTGGGGTGTTCAGTTGGCAATCTTGTTGGGGGCATTTCAAACAGATAGGGAAGCAGGCTTAGCTTGTTTATCGGGGAATCCAGATCCCATTTGGAAACAACACCCATCAAAATTCCATTCAACTGAGCTGGGGTCTTTATGTTGACTTTTTCGCGCGCTCAAAGAAAGAAGCCGGTTGGTGGTGTCCCTTTAACCCACTCCAGAGGCACTCCGGGTGACTTTGATGACTCCTATCTCCGAGCTTTGCTCACACGGTTTCCGACGTCAGAAGTGGCCAGCTGATACCACGCAAAGCGCCCACTTTGCTCGGCAACACACATGCTTGTTGCTGCCCGGATGTTCTTCGGGGCAAAACCGCGCCGGGCAAATACAGATTGCAAATATATCTATTTATCTATATATATATATATATTATGTATATATATATATGTACACCTAAAAGAGAGAGGAAGGGAAACAAACCATGACAAACCCCGAGCCCTTGTTTTCCTTTTGCTTTTCTTGCCAAAAAAAAACTCTTGCAGAAAAACCCGTTCCTTTCGATTCGGTTTTGCCAAAAAAGACGACTCCCCCAAAGCTCCCTGCAGTGAAACCACAAACCATCAATCACCGAGTGCTTGTTTTCCTTTTGAATGACTCCAACCAAGCTCCCTACAGTTAAACCAACCATTAAAGACCCAGTCCTTGTTCCTTTTGACGGGTTTTGCACAAAAACAAGCCGAAACTCGCTGTGTTCCTTGTGATGGGTTTTGCAAAAGACCCCCCCAAAGCTGCCTGCAGTGAAACCACAAACCATGAATCACCGAGTGCTTGTTTTCCTTTTGATTTGGTTTCGCAAAAAAAACAGAAGATTAAAAAACAAAACAAAAACACACACACACAAAAACAACCCAACGCTCCCTGCAGTCGCGCCGCTGGATCCGTTGGACTGAGGCTGGGGCAGCTGGGCCCGGAGCAGCAGGGCGCCGTGGCGGCCTGGCTGGTGGCCGCCGGCCGCGAGAGCTGCGCCCAGAGCCTCAGAGCTGCCGCTGCCGGGCGCGTTGGGCGGCGGGGCGTCGGTTTGCTTGGGGTTCTGGAGGTAGGAAGACTCGGACTCCTCCGCCCCCAAATATATATATATATATATATATATGAGAGAAACACATGCAAGATAAAGGGGTTTTGTCAATCTTAAGATAGGACGAACCCCCCCCAAAAAACAGCTCAGGTGATATCCCCAAGAGCATGCGGTGCTCTTTTTAGTGCTCGCGCCAGCCAGCCCTCGCAGAAACCTCGTGGAACCCTGGTGGAACCCTTGTGGAACCTTACCTCAAGGCCGCCCCGGACCACCCCGGAGCCTATCTGGGCTGAGACCCCAAAGCTTTCAGCTGTTGGGGAAAAATATGAGAAACATGCAAGATAAGGGGTTTTGTCTTAAACTAGGTGGGTAATGAATAAAATTGAGAATGGAGGAAGGGTGCTTTTGTTTGTTTCAACCCGGACCCATGAAGTGACATGGGTGTGACTTTTCTTGCCCCGGACCACTCAGAGTCCTGGATTCCATGTCCACGTCGACTCTTTTACCGGTTGCCTTTGTGGCTGTCTTGCCGTTTGGTTTTCACCGACTCGAAAAGTTGGCGCCTGGCGAAGGAAAACTGAGCGGAAAACCTCCTCGGGGTCGCTTCATTTTGACGGGGCAGTGGTCCAATCGAAGGGTCCACGACATGAAGGGCAAAACTTACCAGCGGAATGCTTGGGGCACGGGGCTACGTGGTTGTGCCGAATCCAAACAAAAAGACGGCGCCCCTTTTCGGACCCTTTTGGACGAATGGATGGATGCCCGAAATATTGCAAGTCACGGAACAACGGAACCCCCTGATCACCCTCCTACAAATAGGCATGGAGCCCAGACAAGCCATCATGTTTAGAGGAATCCCCTTTCGGGGACCAGCTTTTTGGCTTCCATGTTAATTTGAGGGGAGCAACGGTCACTTTTCCCACGGGGTTCCCATGCGTTCCTGAGGATTGCGGCTTGACTCCGTGCGCCGGGGCCGCGGAATCTCGCGGATCGCTTTCCGACCCCATCCGGGCAGGTGACCATGGTCACCCTTTGGTAGTGTTTGGTTTGGGGATGGTTCAAGAAACCTGGTAGCCTCCCACCAGCTAGCATGGAAGTGCACAGAATTGTGTATAAAGACGACTTTCTTCTTGGAAGGGCCTTTTGCACTTCCATGTTAGTTGGTGGGAGGGTAAATCGTTGAAACCGCCCATCCAAGCCACCAATCCAAACCCAAAATCGAGGGACGCTCGGAGTTCAGGCCAGTAGCCCGTCGGCGTTTTTTTTGTTTGTGTATGTTAAAACAACAAATTGGGGACCCTTAAAATGAGGCGAAGGGGCGACTCTGTCCGGTGGCTTCTAAAGTAAAACGCCCACGCCCAAAACGACCAGGAAACCAAAACGCCTAAAAGGCCGGAGAATGCATCTCCAGGTTGTTATCCCGGGACAATGATTTGTTCAGTTTGTTTTTTCAGGCAATGAGCAGACTTGCGCATACCGGGGACTGCTGGTGGAAAGCGGAAGGGATTAGTTGTGAGCTTAGAGCACCATAAGAACCATAGGGCAAGACCCCTTCTAATGAAACCAATGGCCAGTGGAGCTTCAATTGTTACGGCCATGGCCCATTCCGTTCGGTCTGAGTGTCTCTATCCGCTGACAGTCAAGTGTGTATATGTATGTATGTGTCAAAATGGGGGGGGGAACACCTCCCCGCCCCAAAGTCGTGTTTTCCCTTTGGTTTCCCTTGAAACCAACCTGAAAAGGGTGCCCCCCTGAAAACAGGCCAACTGGGGGCTTTCCTTCGGGTGCGTCTGGCTGAGGCCAACGACGACGTGGCGCGGAAGTGGAGGCGGGGCTCCCAGAGTCAGGCATCAACTTGGCCGGTTTGGACGGAGGCTCAGGAAACGGTTTCCTGAGGTCAGGTGACTTAAGGTAACTCTTAGTTGGTGATTTGGGTCGGCAATTCGGAAGATTCTTGAAGGCTTCGGAGTTTCGCATCCCATTGGAATGTGGCGGGGAATTTAGGGTCGCTGGATGGCTGGTGAAGCAATCGCCGCCTTTGGCACGTGTTTTTTTGTTGGGATGGCCGGGAGCGCTGCGACTGGGCGGAGGGGTGTGGTGGGGCGGCGGGTGAGGTCCTTTGTTCTTTTCCCGAAGTGCATTTTTTTCGTAAATATGTGTCCCAATTGATGAATCGGCAACCGGCAGCTTCTATTGCACCTTTCAACAGACGTCAAATTTGTGTTTTCTCATCCAGGATGTTTAGGAATTCCAAAGAGCTTGGGGCGGAAAATCTGCAGGTGGGAGTGCGATGTGATCCGCTCGGCGCCGGTGCTACAGCCCTTTGGTCGACAGGACCGTGAAGCAGTGACCTTGAGTAATGGGATCCAGCGTTGCTTTCCCTTGTTGGGTCAAAGGAGTCGTGTTTTTCAGGAGTGGTCCAGATTGAAGTGATCAAGTAGTCATGAAAATGGGCCTTTGGCATCACTGACACCTGGGTGTGCTTTTCTGTTGAGGCTACCCCCTTTTACTTGGTTTTGAACAAATGACGCATCCCCCTAGCACGCGCAGCTGGCGGGCTTGAAAATCGTTTCCCACGCCGAACGGGCCGGGCCCACGGCACCTCGATAGCGCTCAGGACCAGGTCGCTCTGGTGGATAGTGCCCCGGGCAAGCCATGGTCTTTGCTGCCCGAGGCGCGCAAAGGAGGGGGAGGGGGGCATCGTTAGCTTAAATTTGCTTCAGAATATGCGTTTCATGTCTGTATTGCTTGTTGAGGGGCATCTATCACTTCTTGATAGTTGATCATGATTTCCGGGGACTTAAGCAAGTGGAAGTCAATCGACAGATAGCGGCAGTGTTTTTGCATGATACATGGGTGCGTCTTTTTGTTTCAAGCCACACAGCTCTGCAATATCATGTTTTATCTGTTTTTTCTTCTTTTTTTCGGAACCCTCCGAAGGGTGGTTTCTCTTTGGTTCCACGGATGAAAAGAGCCCACAAAACTGGCTGCCTCATGTTCAGAGAGACCAAGCAAAACCTGGTTTCGAGGCATAGGATCGGGACATCGATGCATCCAACTTGGAGCTGTTTGTCTTTTTTGTTTGTTATATAATGTTGAAACGCATGTGGAAACATGAACTGTGTTTGAAATGCTTGACCATAATGGCCCCGGCCATTTTGGCTCAAGCTTTGCTCTTGGGTTCTCTGAACCCAACTTTGTGGAAAAATTTGAGGGGAATCACTTCCGAACCAACCCCGAACCAGCAATGGCCTCCTCGGCGACTTCGGCAACTTCCTTCGAGTTGATTGAGGACCAGGCACTCACCGCGGAGGAGGTGGAAATGGCCAGCCAGGAGGCCCAGGAAGTCCGCACACGCGAGGCGGCTGTGGCGGCCGGCCTGGTGTTGGATGAGCCCGAGGCGCCCCCGTCGGCATCGGCCACCGATGTGATGAACGACCTCTCCAGTGCACTGGAGCGGCTCCGTGTGGCCTTCTCCACACCGACTCCCGGCCTGGGTGCCCCTGGCCCCGCCGAGGACGAGGACAAGGAGATGGGCGATGCGGTCACCACGGAGCGGGCTACTCCACCAACGAAGAGGCTGAAGGGCTTCGTGGCGGCCTCCCAGAAGACCACGGCCCCGGTGAACAAACCGGTCTCCCTGGTGCCGGTGGATGGCCGTCCTGGCTATTTCAAGCTAGTGGACCTCCCAGACCTCTTCCCGGTCCTTCCGGCATCGGCGGCCACGTTGCTGAGGGACGTCACGGTGGAGGAGGCGGTCTCCCTGTTCCACAAGTTTGTCGGTAAGAATCTCACGGAGGACTTGGTGGTTCGCATCCTGGAGGCCTATGTTCCGATGAAGATCCAGATCCGGCAGGAGGAGGTCTGGGCCTCACAGTTCCAGCGGAATAAGGCATGCATTGGCACCCAGCGGATGCACAGACTCGATGCCGGCCACTCGGACTACAAATTCATGTGTAAGGCATGCGGCACGGGGTGGCCGGAGGCAGCCAATCAATGCTGGGTCTGCCCGGGCAAGGAGTTTGTCCCCTTCCAGGCACCCTCTGCTACCTACGAGGCGGACGGCGTCACGTACAACCTGCTCATTGTGGAGGGCAAGCCGACCTGGATCCAGCAGCGGGATGGGGGAAGCCTGGGTGCCGCTGGCCCCGGTGGTACCCGGGGAGAGCTGCTCCGAAAACGGACTGGCTGACGTGGTCCCGCTAACAGGCGGGTGGATATCCGGCAGGAGATCCTGTCCATGGTCAAGGTCAAGGTGCAGCGGTCCCTGCAGGAGGCAGAGGCTCAGAGCTTCCAGCTCTACCACCCCCAGGTGGACCAGGCGATTCGGAAGAAGGAAGAGCTGCACAAGGCCTTGAGGGAGCACCGGGAACCGACCCCGGAGGAGTCCTCGGCCAGGCAGCGGCACAAGGAGTTGGTCACGGATGAGATGCTGGACAATGAGATGGCAATCCTGGCGCCTCTCCAGGAGGGCATGCAGGCCCTGCCGGCAGAGGAGGTGGCCAATGAGGGAGCCCGGCCCTCAGGAGCGATTCAAGGCCAAGCTGCGAGATCAGTACCTGGAGGGTAAGGGTGTCGACGCCAGCCAGGCACTGGCTGATGCGATGATCTCCATTCAGGAGGCGCAGGAGGCGAACAAGCGCACCCAGGACACCAACCAGGCATGGATGCTTAACCACACCCTCCAGCCCTTGGAGGTGGGCCAGATGATCTCAGGCAGGCTCTGGAGAGGGGGCTGTTCTGCCCCCTGGAGCTGGATGACCCCGAGGACATCCCCAACGTGGGGGACATCAAGGAGAAGTACGTCCCCTACATCCGGAGGCGCAGAGAGGCACAGAACCCGTGGAACCAGGAGGCGTTGCTGGAGGAGATGCCCGATCTGGCCAAGGGTGCCACTGGCCCCGGGGGGGACCAGCCAATGCCACCGCAGGACCTGGACTCGGAGGAGGGTAAGCTGTCCTTGCTCCTCTGGGCGATGAAGAGGCACCAAGGGGAGCTACGGATGTTTGGGGGGATCTGGAAGAAGCACTCCAGCGGCGAGATCCCCAAGGGCGCGGACCAGCAATTCAAGCTCTCGCCGGAGGAGCTCCTGGCCCTGGAGCGCAGGACCCACCCACTCACGTGTGAGCGGGACCACATCGACCCGATCATCTACTCGGCCTTGGAGATCCGAGCGCAGGTGAACCGGGGTGAGCGCCCGGCGCCGGAGCAGGTGGTGGGGATCTTCTGGGCTAAGGGCGATGGCGTGTTTTGGACAAGGCAGACTCGCACGTGGGACCTGCCGAGCTTGACGGGGGTGTACGCCCACCGATTCACCTTCAAGTACATCTACTCGGCTTGGACCACATTCCCGCTGGTCGTGAAGACGCAGCGACGGGGCCGCAATGCGGAGGGCTCGGCTTCGGATAAGTGGATGGGGAACATCCTGCAGATGCGGAAGGAGGCGGTCCCCTTCCTGGAGAGCCTGGGAATCCCCAAACCGCGCAGTAAGGCGGAATGGAGCCACATCTTTAAGGAGATGGGGACGTTTCTGGCAGCCAAGAACTTCATCGTCAATTGCCCATTGCCGGTGATGGAGCTCCCAGTGGCCCCCGTCCACGACAGCAAGGAGGCCCTGCGTTTCAGGGCGGTCTGTGACGAGCGCATCACGCTCCCGCTGTCATCGTTGAGGGCTTTTGACTCGGTGTACACCAAACTGGTGGCAGGCCTGAGTAAGTCCTCCATGGTGGAGATCAAGGTCAACTGGCGTTGCAACGTGGTCCATGACTGGGTGGAGCCGGTCCCGCAGGAGGCGGCGGGGCTCCCGGACCTGATCAGGCAGCTGGGCTGCTCCCCCCCCTTGGGTGCCTCTGGCCCCGGGGGCGGGGCGGCCAAGGAATCGGACCCCAAGGCCAAGATTCTGGCGGGAGCGGACACCACGCTCCGCACGCCGGACCAGGGCACCAGAAGGTACCCCCCGATCACCACGTCCACTGTCACGGCGGTCGCGGGCAAGAAGTACATCAACAAGCACTTCTCGACGGGAACCAAGCACGTGTTCTGGGCCTCGGTGGAGTGCGGCCTGGTCCTGCCCAGCATCAGCGCATGGGAAGTGGTGGGCAAGGAGAAGTTCAAGACCACCGGGGGCTACATGTGCAGGTTCTGCAAGGGCTTCTGGAAGGCGAGCCGTGGGGGGACCCGGCTGCTCCAGATTACGGGGTGGCACAAGGACAAGGCCACCTGCCTGCAGCTGGTGATGGACGAGCCCCCGGAGCAGCTATATAATCAGTGGATCCGGGACAGGATGGAGTTCTACAAGCGGGTGGAGCCGACGGAGCCCCCCAGGGACGAGCGGCTAGTCCTTGGAGATGCGAGCACCCCGCGCATGCGCTTCAGCTCTTCGAACGGCCTGGGGGATGTCTCCACTGCCCTGTGGTCGGTCATCCTGAGCAACCCGGAGAAGTCAGGGCTGGCGGCCATCCACTCGGTGGCAAAGGAGGCGATCTTGAAGGGTGAGAGCCGCTAGGTCGTGTCTCACTACCCTTTTGGATGTGGCGTGGTATGTTCTCTCCCCACCGGGACTTGGGTGCCTCTGGCCCCGTCTTGGGTGGGGGGAGGTGTTGGGGTGTTTCCCTTATTTTGGGGTTCTTTGTTCACCTTGGTTTCCCCCCTGTTTCAACACGCCACGACTGCCGGTTGCCTCGAACCGGAGGCTGCGCAATTTGGCTGCTCCAAGGACGGGCCGTATCGGCCACTGTTTGAAGAAAGTGGTCCCCTGGGGGTTTTGGGGAATCCCCCGCTGGGTTGGTCTTCCCCCTCCGTGGTTCCTGTTGGGGATTTCCGGGGGGTTTGACTTTTGGGCCCTGTTGGGCTGCGTGTGGCCTGCCTGCCCCATGTGCATTCGGCATACTGTGGGGTTGGAACATTCGTGCAGTTTGCCGCGGTTGGGTCCCGGCCGTTCGATAGGAGGCTCGAACCCTTGTTTTCAGCATGGCTAGGGTCTCTACACAGTTTCTGTTGCGCCCGCCTTACACTCGTCTTTGGGACCGCATCCCAAGGGTCCTTTGGGACACGCTGGCGGATGAGTCTATCTCCCCGAGACAGACAGACGGGGAGCTGCTGGTCCTGATGTGCCTGCGCCATGGCACGGCGGAGGAGGGGAGGCAGCTGGGCGGGGAGCCGGCCCTCCGATTCGCTCAGCTCCTGGAACTCTCGGGCATTCCGGTGGACCAGGCGGACCAAGTGGTACCAACGGACTACTTCAACGGCCTGGTGGCGTCGGCGGCGGGCAGGCTTCCCCAGCCTTTGTCCGCGGGGGACCTGGCCGACCTTTGGGATAGCCTATGGCTCCTCCTCATGGCGGCTGCGGACGGCAAGCTCAGCGAGAACTTTTCCCCGCTGGAGAATGAGTGGGACCGCCAGGACCAACTGAGGTGGTTCTCGCGAGATGACCCACCCCCACTCCAACAGCCGGAGCTTCTGAAGTGGCGGCACTGGAGGCCCGGGAAGATCAGGGAAATGGAACCCACGACTCAGCGAGCACTGGAACTCCATATGCGCGGGAAATGGGCGGAACGGCTCCTTGCCCACTTCGCCCCCTTTGCGGAGCACATTGCATACATGCAGGACATCCTGGGGGAGGACTTCCGCAAGGAAGCACTGGACCTCTTGGGGGATAGCAGGTTCCGGACGCTC